CGCACCCCACATCGCGCTTCTGGCCGACATACAGGTCGCGGATGCAGAAGCGAGGAGGCTGTCCAGCGTAGAGTATGTGCATGTACATGTACACGATATCTCCACGCGCAAAATTGTCACAGAAGTCGTCGTCTCCCGCTCCGTTACCTTCCTCGATCTGGCCAGAGAGGTAGTATTTGGAGTTGAAGATGGTGTACTGCGTGCGCAAGGCCGAGAACAGGGCACGCAGCTTTTCTGGAGCAAAGGGCTCCACCCGAGCCGCCCGAGGGTTGATGGTCGACACTCTGGTATCAGGTTGCACGTTCTCCGGCTTCTAGTTGGGGTTGTTGAAGAAGTCGTCGCACAACACCTTCCACAGATCCTTGTTGCGAGTGCTCTTGTCGTCCAACATCTCTCTGCGCGCCTTCTTCGTCACTCCCCCAAAGATCAGCTCCAAGATGTTGGTCGATGCAGGATCATCGGCCAGGTGCGATGCTCGAGCACGAATATTGGCAGGCATGTCCTCAGGATCAAGACCAGGTCCCTCGTCTCCGTCTTCTTCGTCACCATCACCGGGGGGACGAGAGAGCTGCTTCATCTGAACCCTGAGAAAGTGCAGACCGGGGGTGGAGAGGTTCGCGAACAACACCCTCTGCTTCACTTTCTCCTCCCTGCTCTTGCCGAGCAACAGTCCAACACTTGCGGTAAAGTGGGCGTGCTTCTGCGTCTCCCGCAGCATCTTGTTCGCCTGCGTCCCCAGCTTTGCCCCCTTCTCGATGAAGCGATCGTAGATCTCGCCTCCACTCAGGCTGTCCCATTCCGGCGACACTGGGGGGAGGTTGGTAAAGCTCTTGTTGATAATTATGAAGAACTGGGGCTGTGAGGAACAGATCTACAGATCATGATTTGAGTGGGCGGCAGTAGTTGACAGGTTTTGCCCATGTTGCGGACAGGGGATTGTGTCCGGCAACAAGCTGGGAATCAAAACTCGACTTTTGGGTAAACTTATGTGATGGGGTTTTGGAAGTCGAGTCCCCCGGAAAAGTCGGGCAAAGACAAAACTCAAGTATTTTTCGGTAGTCTATGGGTCGAGCCTCGGACAAAAAGTCAGTACTAAACAGACCTAGAGCAGTACAAAAAATAGGCAAAAAGTACAAAAAAAAGCAAAAGAGTAGATGAGCCAATTAGGAGATTCGAACTCCTGACCTTTTGCTTACTAAGCAAATGCTCTAACCAACTGAGCTAAATCGGCGGCTCATGATTTCCATGAAATCAAAAAGAATAGTAAGAAGCCTACTGTTGTAGAAATTTGCTATGAGAGACCGGTAAGCTGCTCTGTTTTGGGATAACTTAGAACAGCCGAGGCAAAGCTTAGGATACTTCCCATCCCTGGCATGAAATCTGACTGGTGAAGAGAAGGCTGCACACATCATCACCTCCCTCTGGTGCTTCGGTGACTCCTACCGTACTCCTGCTACTGACCGCGAGAGCCATCGTAGCCAGAGGCGTGGAGGAAGCCTCTGGATACTGAGCATAGATCCTTTGGATACTAAGCATCCACAGTTCCAACAGCTGCTTCATACAGCTTCCAGGAAGCACCAAAGCGTCCAGCGTAAAGCACAGCTGCATACAGTACATACATAGAGCATAGAGCATACAGTAGCGTAGATGGACGACCACGAGCCTCGCACTGACTCACGCGGCATGAGCGGGCACTCAGAGCTCCTCAGCACCGGCACTCTAGCCTCTCTCAACACCATGAGCTCTCCCAGCCTCAGCCACGACAGCCACGACAGCCACGATGGCAACTCCTCCGCAGGATCCAAGTACAGCTCTGCATTCCGCAGCTCCCTGATGCACAGTGCGAACTCGTGGATCAACAACAAGCGCCCCCTTTTGCCCCACCAGGAGGCCGCATTACTGCTGGAGTACGCTAGAGACGGGCAGGATCTGGATGGCTCCGAGCTCACACAGATGTCTCGACTGTGCTACCGGCTGCGCCACAAGTTCCAGTGGCTGTTGCGCACAGCTGCGTGGGGGGCCGTGCTGGTGCACATATTTGAGAGACCGATCTGGACATACAGTGTGGCGGATTGGCGAGACGGTGATGTGTATCCCTCCTACGAAATGCCCTATATGGGGTCGGTGGCGGCCAAGGTGGGTATGGGGTGTGGGGGGGTGGGGTGTTGATAGTGGTGGGTGGGGTAGGGGAGTTTGGAGGTAGTGGTGGTGGTGGTGGTGGTGGTGGCGGGTATGGATGCGTACTGCAGGATATGTGATGGATCTTGCTATAAATTTTCTCTCTGCTCTCTGCTTCTCTGTCTCTCTGCTTTTCTGTGCTCTCTGCTCTCTGCTCTCTGTCCTCTGTCTCTATATCTCTCCCTCCTGCGCTCATTCCCATATTCCCCGTCCTCATCACTCCCATTAACCCTCCTATCTCCCCACTCCTCTCTCCCATCCCATCCACTTCTTTCCTCCCCCTCTCTCACCTCCCACCCCTGCTGCACATACATACACACATACACGCACAAATCAACACACACAATCGGATACCTACTCAGATTCTGGGCTTCCTCCTCACCCTCACCATGTCCCTAGGCGTGGGCCTGGAGTTCGGCTACAAGCAGCTCACAAACAACGCCTATTTGACGTACCTATCGGCCGCAATCCTGCTCGCCCGACTGGTCCTGCTGAGCGTCGCCCTCGCCCGCATTTCGCAAGACCTCCCCGCCACCTTCTCTGCCTCACCCATAGAAGGTTTCATGGTACTGCTGGTGGAACTACAGTACGATAACAACATCGCTTACCTACTCCGCACGATCCCGAAGTTCTGCGTGCTTATGCTGGGGCTGGCGCTGGCCGTGGGTTCTTACGCCACACTGGGTTTTTTCATATTTGACCCGGAGAGCGAGGAGAAGAAATTGTACTTCCCAGTATTCGGTGAGTGCCTTGTTTATATTGTTTATTGTCCCTTGTGTTCTCTTTCCTCTTCTCCTTTTATATCTCTTACCCCACCCCTACCCCTACTCCCCTATACCTACCCTACCCCCCCCTCCACAACCCCCCTATACCTAACCTCCCTCCCCCCACCCACCCCATACACACACACACCACCCCCCCAGGCACCGGCGTGTGGAATATGCTTGTGGTGCTCAACGGCTCGAACTGGCCTGGTCCCATGATCCCCGCACTCGATGAAAACCGCCTCTACTGCCTGTACTTCTTCGTATACATAGGTACCCACACTGTATGCTCTGTATATATATACTGTATATACTGTATATAGGTACCCGCTCTGTACACTATATATGCTCTGTATCCTCGAAACACACTATATGTTATATGCTCTAACCACCACTACTGCGAGCTCTGCTCTGTCCACTGTATATGTACACTGTGTATGCTCCTAACCCTCTAACACGCACATTGTACGTTACATGTACGTTACATGGACGTTACATGTACGCTCTAACCGCCTCTCCTCTACTTCTCCTCTACTTCGTATTAGTGCTGGCGGGCTGGGGTTTCCTGAACCTGGTGCTGGGCTTTGTGTACTTGTTCTTCCAGCAGGAGCAGCGGTTCATCTTTGACGTGAGTGTGCGGGGGGGGGGGTTAGAATGGGCAGAGGACGTGTGTTGTGTGTCATGTGTTGTGTGTTATGTGTCGCGTATTTGGTGTCTTGGATTTTTTTGCCGTATGTTGCAAATGGCGGCTCCGTTTATACTCTTCTCACTCCCCGCGCCAATTGTCGTGCCACTGCTCTACTAACCACCCACACCTTTTTTCCCCCCCCCCCCTCCCCCGCAGCTGCAAGAGGCCACGCGTGTGAACAACAAGAAGCAGGCGTTCCAGATCCTGGACATAGAGTGCAAGGGATACCTCACATACGTGCAGGTGAGGATGTGTCTTTGTCTGTCTCTGTATCTATGTGTCTGTGTGTGTCTATATATGTGTCTGTATCTGTGTATGTGTCTGTCTCTCTATCTGTCTCTACCTCAAATACGTGCAGGTGTATACCTCTGTCTGTATGTGTGTGTCTGTATCTGTCTCTGTATCTGTATCTGTATCTGTATCTGTATCTGTCTCTTTATCGGTGTCCGTCTGTGTCTGTCTATCTGTGTCTTTCTCTGTCTGTGTCTCTCTGTCTGTGTATGTGTGATTCACCCCCCTCTACCTCTCCCCCTTACCCACTATACCCCCCCTCCCCCCTGTATACCCTCCTTTCCCAAATATATCCCCCCCACCTATACCCCCACCCTTCCCCTGTAGGTGGACGAGCTGCTGCAGGAGATGTACGCCTTCTACGAGGACCTGTCCCTGCCCCCCACCGCCGCAGAGAGATACGAGCTGATCCTGGTGCTGGATGTTCAGTCCAACCTGCGCATAGACGAGTCAGACTTCCACTTCATACAGGTCAGCCGAATACTAACCTACTAATCTATCGTCCTACACTACTATGCTTCCAAATTATAACACCCCTACCATACCCCTTTACCACTATACCACACCCCTATACCACTCCCCTATACCACTCCCCTATACCACTCCCCTATACCACTCCCCTACACTATACCACTATACTATGCCACGGTATCATAACACCTATATCCCTATACCAATATACCACTACTACCACTAATACTAAACCACTGCACTACTATACCCCCACCCCACAGGAGAAATGTTTCCGCCAAGCGCTCAAAACCCTCCGAGCGAAAAAGCTCAAATTTACTCGCTTTTTGAGCGCGAATATAATCCGCCAGGGCTGGTCGAAGAGAGAGGAGGTGCGGGACAGCGTGTCCTCCAATGCGACTGACCTCATGGGGGGGGGGGGGGTGGGGCTGGGGATGGGCGGGGGTATGGGCATGGGGGG